TCTTCCCCCCCCCCCCGCCAAAACAAAAGGCCACGCATAGTTCAAAGCGGGCGGAGGTCCCACGGGGTGCCCCGTGCCTGCGCAGGATCCGTTTGGATTGCATGGATCGACAATACCGCCACGAGCCCCCACCCTGTCCCGTCCCCGAAACACTCTTTCCTGTCTTCTTACCATGACCACGAATATGTCCGTGGGGGTGTCTATGACCTGATACAGCCGGATGATGTGCGGGTGGCTGCACATTCTCAGGATGTGAATCTCTCTCCGGACCTTGTCCATGATGTCCAGGTTCTTGATGCGGCTCTTGCTGATGATCTTCACGGCAACCTTCTTGTTGGTCACCATGTGCTGGGCCACTGTTGTGGGAGGGGTCGACGGACACACACACGACCAGATTCAGCAACTACAATATAATAGACCACTTGGTGCTGATGATGATGTGGTCTTCCCACCACAGCATGGAAAAATTTCCCGCAAACGCCACACCTTTTTTTGCCCTTGGACGTCGCTGTGCTGTGCTGGTCATGAGCTGCCGTCACCGGGTTTACGACAACCTCCGATAATATTAGTTGTCTACAACAGTTGCAACGTTGTGTTCGAGATGTGACGTTATACGAGGTACTACCGCTGTACGTGCTTGCGTGGTGGTTTCCAGATGTGTGTTGTGCAGATTGGCCGTCTACGTCAAACAAGACACCTTGCAATGCGTTACGCGGCAAGAACTCATCAGGGGAGTACAAAAAGGTGGGTGTACCCATTGCTTTATCAGAATAAAGTGGGGCCTACAATATAGAAAAACTATATTCGCGCGTCCAACAACTTAAACTCCGGTTTCCTGCCAAAGCTGGACAACATGGTTAGAGAGCCCATGCACAGCATGGGCATCGACGCTGACAAATATATCCTTTAAGGTCTTCAGGCCAAACGCCACGGCAGCGCACAAGGCCGCATGGGTTGTCCGTTTTGTCCGAAATGGGAACGTACGTCTCAACCACTTCGTTCGGACTGCCTTGCCCACTCTTTCCACTTTGGGTGGCCTCGAATTATCAACCTCCACGTTCATAAATTTCACGAGAACTACGACAACAACAGAATAACGTCACCGCACGGCAGAATTGTTAGATTACCGAAAGTGGACAACAGTCGGCCAAAAAAAACAAACAGACACAAGTGGGTGCGCAAAAAAAAATACATTCAGCAGCTTTCGGCGGGTGGGTAGGAATTCCCACCAGAATTTCGCAGACAACTGGGCAAAAACTTCTTGGGGTCTTGCGCGCCGCCATCGCGCCGGGCCTGGAGACGTGCAACAAAACTAGCAACAAAGTTGATGTTCATGCTGCGCGTGGACCCTGACCATGTTGACAAGGCACCGGATCTTGAGTGGTTGGACTCGCTCACAGGCGGTTGCCACGCCGCGAGGCGTTTTTCGTTTTTTCTAAAATTGGACCTGTTGTTGCCTGACAAAGAAGTGGGCGCATGTTTATCAAACCCACGTTAGTTTCATACCTCAATTCTGTAAGGTAAAATAACCAGCAAAAGTCGGCATGGAAGAGATGACCCTGTTGTCTTCCAAGAAACCCCATTTTTTTCGTTGCCTTCCTTGCGCCTTTTTATATCGTTATGCGGGAACTTCGATCGATGTGCTTCGTAAAAAATGAAACAAACAAAACTCGGCGGTGCCGCCTGTCTCTCTGCGTAGCATCTACATAGACTTTGGTTCGACACGCACAGATACTGTAGGGCTGCTTGCTGCTGCACGGGAATGTAGTACTTCTACGGAGATGAGTACTGAAACAGTTCTCATCTCAGCTGCTGTCTGCGGCGTGTGCTCTACCGAAAACGGAGAGGGCTTGTTCAATAGCACGGGCCAGGCGTGCGCGTTGTGCCCGTGGTTGATCAATTCGGCATCGACCGCGGTAACCGGTTGGCCAACGAAAAAGACGTGTCGCGAATTACACAAACGCGAACCACGCTCTTCGAATCGAATGGTTCGTTCGGTCGACAGGGGGGGGACGACGAGCTGCACGATAGCAAGTGTCCGCGTCTGACATTGTGCTTGTGTGTGTAACAGACACAAGAGCGGCATGCTCCTTGGCGACACAACAAGCGGCATGCACGCATTTTGGAAAATTAGTAGCTGTCGGCCTGTATGACGATGGATAGATTTACGTGAACACTTCGCGCTTCCTGAGAAGCAAGACCATGCAATGTACACGTAAGTAGGTGGCAGATCGCTTGCACGCCAAAACCACGACGACGCTTGCTGTAAGCCTCCTCAACGTACGAAGGCGCCGCATCCTGCACATGGGCAGGCGTAATGCAAATGTATCACCACAGCGGCAGTACTCCAGACGTCAAAGCAAAGTGGGCGCTGCTCATCATGATCTATCGTACAGGGGGCAGGTACTGCTGTAAGGCACATGATGCCAAATCACTGCTGCTGCTGCTGCTGTGGCGGCTGCTTGCACGGTTAAGCCGCAACAGCAGTAGTGGCTGAGGTACGCACATCAGCGGCGGGGGCCGGAAAGTTCTCGATATTTTAAAATCTCGTCAGATGTACACATGTCTGCCTGCATAGTTGTGTACTGTATCCCCAACATACGGCTCGTCGATGATGTATGTTTCGTCGTGTGTAGAACCACGTATGGTACCTGAGTAAAACTGTATCATAACAACAGCAGCGGAGTTTTTTTGAAGGAACAACCATCCATCCTCGGGGGACAACGGAGCGGCGTAGTGGGGATATACAACAGGGGGGAGGAATCACCGCATGTCGGATACGGAGCAAAACAAAAGGGGGAGGCCGCTCCCTGAGAGGTGGCATTGACGAAGTTAGGCGCGCGGCTCACTTTTCCGGACACAGCGTGCTGCATCCCTGCATCATATCACCTGCTGGCTATGATCATTGCCACGGACCTGCCTTTCGCCGACACACAAAAAAAGCGGAGCAAACACACACCAACAAAATATACTGCCGAGCAAGACGCACACATCATGCACCCACTGCAGCAGTGTTTGCCAGGGACAGGCAAAGCGGGTAACTCACGTTTGACCTTGCCGAAAGCCCCAACCCCTAGGGTCTTCACGAGGCGGTAGTCCCCTATCTCGAGGTGTGTGCTCTCCTGGACCAAGCCAGAACCCACAGACATGCTTCTCCCCCCCCCTCTCCTCCACGCCCCTCGCGCCGTGCTCACATCGTTCAGGAGCCCTTTCAGCCCGTTCCTGTCTCTGTGCGTGCTATGCTGCATACGAACTGGCCGCTCGCGTCGGTCTGGACGTACTGCGTGGTTTCAAACCCACTGACAGGTGTGCGCAGGGCGTGCTGCGTGGCTGTTTTTCAGCCCCTGGCACCCAGGGGAAGGGGCTTCACAGCGGGAATATATGTATACGGTAGCCTAGTAAATATCCTTTGCGTCACCCCCACGACGACTGTGCCGTTGTTGTCCCTTGTTTGATGTGGGAGCTTGTCGGGAAGCCGAGAGGTCTTACTACCCCGTGCAACGTGACCCTGCCTCGGAGGAGAGCCATTGCGTTAAGCACTGGCGGAACGGAACAACTTGTTGGTGATAGTGACCTGGGCAATCGACCCGCACGGGAAGAGAGCACCTCTCGGAGCAAAAGGAAAACCTAAGGCTGGGAACGGCAGAGGGAGAGAGAGACCATGGCTTCCATCCCTGACAACCGCAAGCTGCCGAAGCGGGAGGCGGATCTCTTCAAGTCTATCCTGGTACGAGTAAACTAGCTCTTTCCTAGCCTGTAGTTTGAATGCAGTACGCGTGTGTGCACTTCTTTGTCTTCCTCCTCTCGCTGTCACGTCTGTTGCATGCGGCATCTCACGGCGCACCGACATCAGAGTCTAACTGGAGGCAGGCGTAGTGGCCTGTGAATCTAATTGTAACGCAACTGCGTCCCCTGGGTTGCGGCCACGATTTTCGGGATCGATGGTGGATCGATGCTGCCAGCCTATCTTCTGTGCGGGTGCCTTCGTGCTCCGCTGCTGCAGCATTTGCTTCATTTTCGGTCCCCGGATCTGTAAGCAAGACACCCACATCCTTGTACGCTGGGCACCCGGTTCCCAGTATTCATTCAGGGCATGAGACAGCTCGAACATTCCATCCGTGTCACGCGGCTTTCGCCGACTTTCATCAGATCGAACGCCCTCGTTTCCACGTCCGTCCATACGTGATAAGTATTTTGTAGGGCTGTATCTGCCATCCCTTCTGTTTTGCAACCCGTCACTTTCCCTTCTTGCCTCTCGTGCGATGCCCTCAACTTGTTTGTTCGGAGTGTGTGCGTGTACCGGCCGTAACAGAGAGCTGTCCCTTGTTGGCAGCGTATGGACCCGCTTGGCTCTGTGTTTCCGCAGACACACGCACAAAGCATTGGTGCATCCATCCGCCTTTGGAGTCCCGATTTCGGGACGTACTTGTGTGTTGACGAAAATGACGTCACCCACACAACGATAAACGCGTGCAGCCTACAAACCCAAGCCGCAACTTGTATGTGTCAATCGTTCCGTTGGCTTGCAACCCCGCTCGGCGGCAGCCGTAACATCCGACATCTTTCTGTGTCCCTGTTTCATGGTCTCTGAAAAAATGTTGCACGCGTATCAAACTTAGCGTCGACCCATCGTGCACGAGAGACACGAGAGCCGTGCAGCCACGGCCGGTGCGTGGCCAAAGCTTTTGAAGCACCCCGCCCTTTTGTGGGGATAGAACGGGCCGAGAGTTACACCGGGGCCCGCTCGAGAACCCTCGTTATTATACCTTGCGAAGAGTTGTTTCAATGTATGCTTTATTGAACCGGTTTTCCGCTGGGTGCGGAACACAGCCTTGCGGGACGCCGCCCACTCCGATGTACACAGGAACTTGCACGTGCTGCTGTTGCCTGCAAACGTGCCTATTCACGGTTCGTGCGTCAGCGCTCTGCGGGGCGTGGTCGACCCTCCATTTGTCTGTCCACCACAGGTATTACTTTTGGGAAGCACGGCGAGACGCCGCCCCTCCCCCAACACACACAAGACCAAGCGAAGCATTCGCCTCGAAATTTCAGATTTGGAGAGTGCCGTCGTTGATTGTCTAATCACAAACCAGCAATCCAACAGTAGGTCCAACCACCAGAGACACCAAAATAGGTGTGCCCTCCCTTGCAACGTTTGTTCAACGCCAGCTACCTGTTTGTGGCGCATCGCACACCGTTGTCGAACGGCCCGAGAGAAGCAACAGCTGAACCCGCCCCCCCTACCCCCCCGGCCCCGCCTCCCGCCCACGCATGTGATGCCACGCTCGATCGGTGACTTCCCGCTGCCTCGCGGACACGAAAGAAACTGTACGAGCGGAAGGAGTACAAAAAGGGTCTCAAGGCGGCGGAGGCGGTGCTCAAGAAGTTCCCCACCCATGGAGAGACGCTGGCGATGAAGGGACTGACCCTCAACGCCCTGGGCAAGAAGGAAGAGGCGCACGACCATGTCCGAAGGGGTCTCCGTGCAGACCTGCGCAGGTGGGTGGGTGTGTTGTTGTTGTTGTTGTTGTTGTTGTTGTTGTTGTTGTTGTTGTTGTTGTTGTTGTTGTTGTCTTCACATTAAAAACCGTTCCGATCTCTCTCTACCCAGTACCTTCGTATGTCCGTACTGATCCAACACTCGACGCGGTCGATTCCCGTGGTCGCAGGCTAACTTACCCTAAAAAGGTACACTCAAATAGAATGGCCCCGAGGGGGCCGCAAGTCAATAGAAATCAACGACAGATATTCTGGAGTCCTCCACTCCCTCTGCGCGCTATGTTTGTGGGCTTTGCTGAACCAAAGCAAGATGCTGAAGGAGGAGGGGGGATCAGTGCATGCTGTGGTCGTTGGACCGTTGGTCATTGATCTCGCATCCCTACAGTGCCGAGGTACTCACTACTCTTGATACGGCTCCCTAGACCCCTTGTTTTGACCTTTCGGCCTTTTTTGCGCTCTTCACCGTCTACAAACGCCCCATGTGCGGCGAAAAACAATGCATTCGTTCATGATCGACACCGACGTCAACACCACCACCACGAACGATAACAATGACGTGAACGACAACAACAACGGCAACGACGACGACGACGACAGTCACGTGTGCTGGCACGTGTACGGCCTGCTCCACCGGTCGGAGCGCAACTACGCCGAGGCCATCAAGAGCTACCTCAATGCCCTCAAGCACGAGCCGGAGAACCTACAGATCCTCAAGGACCTCGCCGCCCTGCAGATACAGATCCGGGAAGTCAAGGTGCGGCCCGCCCGCCTGCCTCCCTGCCTCTCTCGCCGAAATGATAAATGACAAAAGTATATTTTCTCGAGGCTCGCTCTGTGTTTTTTCTCACAATACGAAGGGCCAATGTAGGTTTTATTTAGTATGTGGTGGGGTCAGATTCCTTGCGTTTCGAAACATATTAAAAGTATAAGAGGTCGCGATGCTTCCCTGAATACCGTTGTATGCGGAACTAAGGACCGGGTAGAGCCTACGGAAAGGCCGCGCGAAGGGCCGTTGCAGTTGGCACCCGGATATAATTGAAACGCCAGTTTGGGATCGAGGCTCAAATCTCTTAGTAGTGTTTCGTTGCCACCTTGGACGATAGAATAAAAAATTGTTATCGGTTTTTTCGGTAGCCCAGCCCTTGCTGCCGAGGGAACGCGAGATCAATACAAATTTAGAAAGTCCCGTCGGAGCGATTTTCTTGACGACAGGTGCCCCCGACGACGACATCATCAACAATTCGGAAGTCCCCCACCAAGTCAGACTGTGTGTGTAGGGCGCATGAGATAGTTCTTGTTGAAAACCAACTGTTTTTTTGTTTTGTTGTCTACTTAGGGTTTCGTGGAGACTCGCCGGAAGCTCCTGGGGCTCAAGTCCAACCTCCAGCAGAACTGGACGGCGTACGCGGTGGCCAATCACGTGGCCGGCAACGCGGAGACGACCGTGCAGGCCATCGATGCCTTCGTCAAGACCCTCAAGGTTCGGTAACGTCGACTATGAAGATTTCATAAACGCCGGTGTGTACGTTAGGACGCAGGAATCCTCTGTTTTTTTCTGGAGATGAATCGTTTGGCTTTCATTATTTCTTGACGAATCTCGGGGGTGAAGGTTTTGTGACAGCACGATGCCAATCGGTGCGACGGCAAGGTGTCAATCTTTCGCGATACACACGGTGCCGGCAATCGCTGTCGCTGCTATTTGTTGACCAACAAAGACACGAGGCGACCGTTGAACTCGCCACCCACCCCTCAACCAAGCGTCCTCCCGTCAGCTCATGCATGCCCCCCCCCCCCCCCCCCCCNCCCCCCCCCCCCCCCCGTTGTTGTTTTTCTAACGGTACGCAGGGAGACAGGCACCAGCGGGCGGACGAGCGGTATCCCCACAGCGAGCTGCTGCTGTACAAGAACCTCGCCCTCAGCGACGCGGGTATGATCCAGGAGGCTCTGGACCACCTCGAGGAGTGCTCGGACAAGGTGGGGACAAACACCACAGAGAAGGCTAACGCTACACGCGGGCCGACCGTTGTGGAGCCCAGTCGTTCGGCATTCGGGATACAAATATGTAAAAGTGGTCGGGGCGACCTTGTCGTGGAACCATCTCTTGTTTTGTTCATCTATTTTTTCTAGTTTTTTGTTTTGTTTGCCGAACAATTGGCGTCGTATTGACAAATGACGCGACGAAGGCCCAGCGAGCGCCCCGTGCAGCCAACAGTCAGCATGCTATGTACATTCTGTCCGTTGCCGCGTTTTTAACCCGGTCTTGTAGCCATATGCGATACGCTTGCCTTTTTGTTCGAATTGCACTCCTTCCCTGAATCCGAAGCAAGAAGCTAGTTGATTTTCACGTGGTCTGGCGTTGTTGCACTCGGTTGTATGGCGCCCCAGAAATTATTGTACTTCTATATTGTAGACAGTGTGCATGGCGAGACAAGACCAGCCGTTCGAAATAGATGATGCTCCAACGAAGCGAGCGTTGATTTGCTGACTTCTTGTTTTGTTTTTTTTTTGCGGCATCTTTTTGCGTTGCATCCTTGAACGTTTTTGTCGACCCTTGCCCATTTGACAGGTGATGGACAAGCTCGGGTGGACGATAAAGAAGGGTGAGCTGCTGCTGACGCTGGGACGACACGAGGACGCCGAGAAGATATACAGGTACCCCCTCCGCCCCCCTACCCAACGTAGGGAGATTTACCAGAAACAGGGCAGAGAAAGGGGCGACGCGGTATCATTTCCAAATAGCAACGCGGAAGACGGTGGACAAAGCTGAGGGGCGTGGATGTATGCGGAAAAGTAGCTGGAGGGAAGGCCTCGAGGAGGGGAGGTGACGAAAATGATGGATGCATGTTTCGTGGTGAAAGTTGGAGCATGAGACAACGACCGATCCATGTGGTAGAACATGATAAATGGTAGCCGCAACGTACACGCCCTGGAGGAGCGGGGACAGGGTAGAGAGCCCTATGTGAAGTAGAGCCGGGTTCCAAGGGGTGCTGGCCTGCTTTTGGGGGCGCCTGTGTTCAAGGAGTCGGGAGTGCACTCGTTCTGGACATCGAGGATGGCTGTCTCGAAAAAACTCGGGCTCCGTCGATGGTCAAATAAGTACCGGAGGCACCTCAGTTTCCCACACACGACCCCCCCCCCCCCCCCCCCCCCCCCCCCCCCCCCCCCNCCCCCCCCCCCCCCCCCCCTGACCGCCGCAGGGAGCTGCTGGACAGGGGAGATGAGGACTACACCTTCCACAGAGGGCTGCAGTGCGCGGTGCTGAAGCTGCCGCCCAAGCAGTGCGAGGAGGCACTCAAGCTCAGGGCCTGCGAGCTACCATCGGGAGCGCTCAGGGCCGCGGGGAAGCTCGGAGAGGCGGAGGTGGAGACGCTCAAGGAGCTTTACCGCGGGCTCAGGGAGAGGTTTGAGGGGAGCCCCGCGGCCGCGCGCATCCCGCTGACCTTCTTGGAGGGGGAGGAACTCCGCTCGTCTCTAGGTGAGAGCGATGATGCATTCGTGTGGTTTGGGTTGGTTTTTCGCCGT